TGTGTGTGTGTGTGTGTGTGTGTGTGTGTGTGTGTGTGTGTGTGTGTATGTTTGTGTGTGTCATGCGTGTGACCTTGATGGGAGGCAAAACATGCAGTACCACAAACGGCTGATAAACAGGCATGCCATCATTTAAATGTCGACATTGTTCAAACCTAAACTGAAACGTGTCAGATCAGCGTAAACAAGTATCATATCATAACTTGTGTTCTGATACACAACATTGAAATGTTAAGTTAAAAATGGATCCTTACTCCTAACATTAATATTCAGACATTGCTGATATTGTTATTGTCTGTTAGGCTAAGCAGCTCACACCACCTTCAAGGGCAAAAGAGCATTAATGGTTTTACCAGTGTGTGTGTGTGTGTGTGTGTGTTTGTGTGTAGCATTAAATAAATATCTCATGAATCATAGGATGAGTTTTGGTAAAACTCACAAAAAGAATGACTGTATATAAATTTAATTAATACTGACTTCACATGTCTATTGAAGATGGCCGCCTCAGTCGTGACCTTCAAAAACACACGAGTGGCTATAACTCAGTCAGTGTTTACAGATAATGAGCTAAAATTTGGTGAGGTAGCAGCTGAAACGGATCCTCAACTCAAACTGAGCACAGTCTAAACAATATAGTTGCTTAAAACTTTGACATTAACTATTGGAATCAGCCTTGTTTGTCTGTTAGCAAAATTTCACATGATCAACCGGTTTCATTTTAATAAACCTTTAAGGTCATAAGCATTGGATTTACATCTACAATTGATTACTGCTACATTTCAAGATGGCTGCCACAGAAAATGCAGATGTGGTTATAAATCGGACAGTTTTACAGAAAGTGTGCTGGAATTGGGTGTGGTAGTAACTGAGAGTCATTCATCGCGCTGACCATGACAGCTCATGATAGTTTTTCAAGGATTATTTCTCAACATAAGATAACCAAAATCAAAAACTCTGGCAAGAAATGCAGAGGCTTTACTTTATGATAAATGTTAAATATTTATTATTTTTTAAATATTAAATATATATTTTACAGTATGTTTTTAATTCACAAGTTATTATTTGCCATATTTAATATTTACCATGTAACTAAAGTTTGCATCTAATTAACAACTGGACTGGAAATTAATTTTCCTTCTTTCGTTTAGTTCTGTAAAGACAATCTTTGCTAATTGTTTTCTCCTTTTTTGTTCATTTTGGTTTTATATTGGGAAACATTTAAAAGAAAAGTGCGTGCACGAGCGCCTGAAGATGCTATGAGATGATTCACAAGCAGCTGTTAACATTGTCCTGTCTCAGACACTGCGAGGGGCAAGTATTTTTATGTGGAATATCATATTTTTCAGATTATAAGGTGCATTAAGCAAAACAAAACAGTCAGATAAGTCAAACTTTATTAACTCATTCACAATAAAATCAGTTTGAGGTCAGTAAGCACAACCAGAATTAATGGTGCACCAGATTATAAGGTTCATTGTTGATTTTTGAGAAAATTAAAGTATTTTAAGTGTGCCTTATAGTCCGAAAAATACAGTAAGTTGCTCCACCTCAAGGAGTTTAACTTGTTTTGAGATTTCTGTTGACATCGTGAGCTCTCCTCCTTTTTTCTGGCTCCTGCAAAACAGCTGCCTGAACCAAATCCCCCACCAAACAAACAAAATGATTAAAAAAAAAAACGAGTTTAGTAAAAATTGTGATTGGAGGGGAAAAAGGTAGATTTATTCTGCTGTTTATTTAGCGCGTCCACAGTGAGCAGAATTCAGAAAGAGCCAGCCTGAGGCTTTATAATCAATACTGTGCAGGCAGCTTGTTTATCAACAAAACAACAAGGTCAACAGAGGAGGAGCTGAATCAAAGCTAAAGGAATTAGGTCTTTATTGTCAAGTGGTGTGAAAATAATCAATAATTAATAAATCCATCCGAGATCTACTTTCTTCGCATTAAGTCTGCACTTTTTTCCAATGACATCCAAACATGAATCTGGAGCATGCTCAAATATAAAAAAACAAATTTATGTACAATATTTAGATTTTAAAAGCTTGCAGTGAATGTTTGCTTTTCAAGTAACAGGTGAGCAATCCTGATGGAAGTGAAAGCCTTGTCTGGCACAGTCTGATGCACTTCTAGAAAAAATAACTCAAATATTGGACTTTAATTGTGTGAACGCTGTTTGTCTGGTTAGAGTTGCTTCAACACCTTTTTATTCCCCCCCCCCCCCCCCCCGAGTCAAATTATTTCAAAACAATATTTCAATCAGCCATATATGTCAAAACTTTTGACTCAGTCAGGAGCAGTGTGCTTTGACTTAATCGTAACTTTAATAAGATTTTATTTTTTTTTTTTTTTTACATTATTTATGAAAGTTTTAGAAATACTCCGAGAGCTCATCACTTCTTTGACAAACATTGTTCTCTGAAATCTTGCTCTTATTTTACTTTGTATTTTCTAATGCTCCTTTTAGCTTCTAGCTATTGTTATTTTATCTTCAGCTATTAGCTACTGTTTTTGGCCATTTTAGATTTGAGTTAAAATTGTTTTAGCGACAGGGATTTGCTAAATTAAGCATTT